CTCAAGATTGATTTTTATTTGCAAAAATTGGTTTTTAAAATCTTTGATGTATGTTATGAAAAATGATAAAAGAGGGGTTCAAGATGTAAATTTTTAAATAATATCTTGGAACCAAAGGAGGATTCGAGTTGAAAATCTGAAAAGGCAACTCGAATATTAAATGGTGCAACAACGACATAAGAGACGATTTTAAGCTCTTAATGAAGCACCACACATCCCAAAGAGGTTCCTGAGAGTCAGACACAAGAAGTATCTCTACGAGATGAGTATAACAACGAGAAGTATCTCTACAAGATGAGCACAACAATCATTTCTTCAAGTTAACCCAAAGAGACATATATGCTGGACTAACCTGAGAGACCTTACTTTACCAGAATCCACCTACACTTTAAATCAGTCAATAGTTTTGACACTTGCCATAGGACTATGATTTTTGAATGAGTTAAAAGAGTAGTTGATTTATTTGATATTCATTAATTTCATGTCTTGTGATTTTATTCTATTGTGAACCTGTAAAGGGCAATACTTTACAAAATTCTGTCATTCTTCAATAAAAAAATGAGTAAAAACATTTTCAAACTTGACAATCTCAAATGAGGAAGGTCCTTGAACCAAGTTGTTGCCTATTCTACCTCTATTGAAGAGAAAGAATAAGCCAGACCAAAATGATGAAGCACTCTTGAAATCAAGTGGTCTGAGAAGCCAGAAAGTTTGGAGAATTGAACTTATGATGCTCTCCTGTGACATTATCAGCAACTTATCAAGAATGATTACCTTGTTCTAAAGGGAGATACTAAAAGCTCATTTCAACTAAACCTTTCCATGGTTCGGGAAGAGTGGGATATGGCAGTACATGTCTTGAAGCAGCAGAAGAGACAGTCATTATATCAGTCATTGCAAGGAAATGCACCAACAAAAATCTTCTAGTTCATCTTGATGATATTTATGTCTTCCAATAAGGTTGTTACACTGGATACCACCGACAACAAGGTCGAATTCGACAAATCTACTCATCAATTGCTCCAATTGATGACCATTTAGTTCTTGCACATTTGCTTTCAAAGGTATACTGAGCCGGTAAAAGACAACCTCTGCATCACTGATCCCAGAAAAAGAGACAGAACATTGATACCACCGAGGAACATGTCTCTAGCAGCTCCTCATGTATGGTTTTTAGGGAAATCTAGAAGCATTTCCACCTCATTAGGTTCAAGTAGAGTAACTTTATTTCTTCCAACCCATACCAGATTCCATTTTCGGCACTCATCAAGAACATACTTCTGGAAACTCTAAGGTGGCTTATCGTCATAAGCTTCAAGAGCCTTACGGATCCTTTCTGTCAATTTGGCACTTCCTGTACATATTTGTAAACAGGTCAACTTTGTTCTTGGATCCTAGGAAGATCACAATTTTTCTTTATCAATGGAAAAGCATCATGTATGGTGTGTGGATGAAGTGAAATAAGAGGAAATATGTTCTCAATTGGGAGATTATGAATATAGCCCTTTTCCATGCAGCAGTACAAAAATGTTTCGAATCTACAAATTCTGGCTCTACATCGTATAAGTACCGTGACATTTCAGTCCAAATACAACTGGAGCAAATACCACGTTATCATAGTAGAAATAAGGAGGTCCAATAGCATCTTCTGGAAGTGTTCTTTGAGTTATGGAACTCCAAAACCAATCATTGGATTAGGAAGATGAACTGCATGATCGTCTTCATTAAGAAGTTTCTTTTCAAGCTACTTTGGCTTCTTCTTTTTCTAAATCATAGCCCAAGTTTCGCCTTTTCTTGTAATTGTGATCATTGCAGAATGGCTTCCTATCTTTTACCGGAAGATCTGCAATTGATGAATCAGGACCACATCTCTATGACTATTGAAGACTTAGCATTTGAGTATCCCATTTTCGTCAAGTATAACAGTTTACTCTCCTCATCAGAATAAGAATTCAGGATTTCCTCGGTATCAGAAGAACTATCAATATTTGTGAAATCATCTTGAAAGATCATTTCATAATCAGATGAGTAGTTATCAGAATCAACATGTTATATGAGTGTAAACTTTTCAAGAGCCTGTGCCATTGAGTTTTGTTCTCAAGTTGTCTTGTGACATCATACAAAAGCTTTGAACACTGTGCAAAAAGCTTCATTGACCAAAAATCTGGGCACAAGCCACAGGAAAAGATGAATGTGTTGTTAAATGTTTTACGAATATCTAAGCAGAAACCACAACAAGATGAATGTGTTGTCAAATGTTTTACGAACTAGTGATTATGGTGCAGAATCAATGTTGCAACCATATGGTATTTCCATTTATGGACTCAAGATGAAGTTTTCTTCAACCTCAAGGTTAGAAGTGAGATATGATGAAGATTTCTTTCCACAGAAGGGAAGCAGAAATTTTAATAACAAGAAACTAGTGGATCCAACTAAGGTAGAACAACAGGTTGTTGTTAAGCATCTTGACATGATATGGTCCAAATTACCTTGTTCGAGATATGATTAGATGTGAAACATGAAAGGAATTGGGATAAATCCTCCTTATGATGTGTTTCAAGAGTCAAAACAGAACAGACGCTACTCTCCTAATTAATTTGCTGAATCAGACATATCTACATCTACATCTTTAAAGATGATAGATTCTCTCTCCGAAGATGATAGATTCTCTTTTCAAAGATGAAAGCTTTATTGGATTTCTACACAAGTCCAGACAAAGAAAATCGGTTTTATCCAGACAAAATGGGGCATCAAGGTCATAGTTCTGACTATGGCAAGAGTTCCATAAATGAAACATTTTCTTCTGAGACTTTAATGCAAATGAAGCAACGAAGACACAAAGATTGATCTTCCAAATCATAAATGCAGTTTGAAATGACATTTTGACCAAGTGAAAAAAGACTAAGTTCACCACTTTGAAATCAAATAAAGATGAACTTAACATTCATGCATCATATTTAGACATTTGCAAATAGGGGCATTTTCATTCATTTTATCCATGTTGAATATTTGACAGGAACTTCAAAGATTTTAGCAAATATTTGAATCCATTACTCAATGGATCAACATGCCAGGTAGAGTTCATAATGAGAAGAACTCATCTGAAGAAGGAAGAAGAAGTTCATAATGAGAAGAACTTGTTCAACCTTTTGTTTTAATTCATCACCCGATGGATTAGCATTGCCAGAGAAAGTTCATAATGAGAAAAACTCATCTGAAGAAGGAAGAAGAAGTTCATAATGAGAAGAACTTGTTCAACCTTTTGCTTTAATTCATCACCCGATGGATTAGCATTGCCAGAGAAAGTTCATAATGAGAAGAACTCATCTGAAGAAGGAAGAAGAAGTTTATAATGAGAAGAACTTGTTCAACCTTTTGCTTTAATTCATCACCCGATGGATTAGCATTGCTAGAGAAAGTTCATAATGAGAAGAACTCATCTGACGAAGGAAGAGGAAGTTCATAATGAGAAGAATTTGTTCAACATTTTGCTCAAATCCATCACTTGATGGATCAGCATTGCCAGGTAAAGTTCATAATGAGAAGAACTCATCTGAAGAAGGAAGAAGAAGTTCATAATGAGAAGAATTTGTTCAACCTTTTGCTTGAATTCATCACTCGATAGATCAACTTTTCCAAAGAAAGTTCATAATGAGAAAAACTCATTTGAAGAAGGAAGAAGAAGTTCATAATGAGAAGAACTTGTTTAACCTTTTGCTTGAATTCATTACTCAATGGATCAACTTTTCCAGAGAAAGTTCGTAATGAGAAGAACTTATCTGAAGAGGAAGAAGAAGTTCATAATGAGAAGAACTTGTTCAACCTTTATTTGATTCTATCACAGAAGAAAATCGATCAATATCAGCATTTCCAGAAAAAGTTCATAATGAGAAGAACTCATCTGAAGAATGAGAAGAATTTGTTCAACTTTTAGCTAGATTACATCACAGAATGAGATAAATTATCATCCCTAGTGGAAAAGTTCATAATGAGAAGAACTAATCCCAAAGAAAAACTTGTTCAACATTTCTGAGTGAAGTCAAATGAAAAAAAAACACTTATTGCCTTTTCATCTTTGCTCTATTCTCGTTAACACAAGAATGAGCAAAGTGGGACAGCTGAAGACACTAGTTTTTTCTCATTTGCTTATATTTATTATTATTATTATTATTATTATTATTATGTTATATTATTATTATTAATAAATAATAAATAATTTTATTTACATTTCAGGCCCAAACCTAAGGCTCGTTTTACAAATCCTGGAGCCCAAACATGGAGGCCCGATCAGGACAAACCCAACCCAGATGGCCTAATAATAACCCTAAACCCATCTAGGGTTTATATCATCACCAGCAGCCGCCAACTCCTCATCACCGTTGGATCTGACTTTGATCCAACGGTCCCCAGAAGGTCCAGCTTGAAACCCTAGGGTTTCATAACCCTAGGTTATCATCTCGCACTGCCGCCTCAGCCAGAAGTTGCTGCCATGCCTCCACTGCCAAGTGACCCAACCAGCAACTGCCAACGCCACTGCCGACGCTCCACCAGTACCACGCCCTCGTCAGAAGCCTCTAAAAGCTTTGCTTCCATGATAACAACTCCACACGTCGAGCTCTATGGTGAGTCACCACCATAGCTATGGTGACTCACCTATGCAACCTCCTTGGGACCGGTCTGAGAGCATCCTCCTTGGGACCGGTCTGAGAGCATCCTCGGTGGTGACTATAAAATCCACCACACCTGCAAAATGAAAAAGGGGGAGAAGACAACAATTGACAGCAACGGGAAACCAACAGAAGCAAAACCATCAAGAGATACGGGGGCAAGACGGAGAGAACAGCAACCAATAGCCAAAATACAGAGCAAAAACTACACCAACGATCCCAGATAAACACCAAACCAAAAGAAAAGAAAAGAAGTTAGGAGACTTACCCTCATCGGAGCCTCCAAACCACCGTGGAACTTAAAAAAATCAAAGGTAAAATGTTTAGATCTAGCGGTTTCGGTGAGTTTATAGGAGAAAACAAGTTAAGATTTGTGTTTGGGGTAATTGGGGCTTTAATTTAGGGTAGGTTTGTGAATTTTGGCCACCGTCAACTGTGGTCGGAGCCCGGCAGTAGTGGATGGCCGGGACTGGTTTCTCTCCGGTGAGAGAAATGTAGAGAGAAGCCATAGAGAACTCTGGTTCTCTCATTTTAGAGAGAGAGAGGAAGGAAAGGAAAATGGGAAGAATGGCCCGAAGGGCCGGTCCTTTAGGGTATTTAAACCCCTCCCCAAACGACGTCGTTTCGGGGAGGGTATATGTGTAATTTCCCACGTAGGTAAACTATACCCGCAATCCCCATAGATTTGTAATATTTCAATTTCATCACTGGAATTATTTTCTGATCCTTTTAATTTGGTCTCGTAATTATATTTTATTTTCTTTTAGTCCTTATCTATATATATATATATTTAGGGTAAATACCTAATTTAGTCCCTTACAGTTTAGTAATTATCATTTTAACCCGAATTAATTAAATAAATTACATTATTAGCACTTAGATCTTTTTATTATTCGAGTTAGAGCCTTTAATTTTAATAATTATTATTTTAATCACCTATTAATAATTAGGGTTAATAACATCATTAATAATTATATTTTTATAATACTATAAATAAGGGCTGTAAATTTAATATTTTATATTTTAATCCTATTATTTTAATTTTATATGTTTTAGTCACTATTTAATTGCAATTTAATTTGTATTGTTATCATTTCAATTCCAATATGTTTAAATGATTACTTTAATTATTATTTTATTATTATATTAGTCATATAATATATATATATATATATATATATATATATATATTTGTTCAATTTATAATATTTTATTTTTCAAATATCGAAGAAAATGGCAGTCTTAAAGTAACTAGATATCCTATTCTGGTATTTTAAAAATAAATAAATATCTTACTTATAAAAACCAGAAAATACATATTGTTTTATTTAGATTATTTTTTATGAAAAATAATTATATTTTAAATATATATTTATTTTTCAATATTAAGAAATGACAGTCTTAAATCAACTAGATGTCCATTTTCTGATATTTTTAAATAAATAAATATTTTACTTTTATAAATTATATATTGATCTATTTTTTAATTATTTTTAGATAGATGTTTTAATATTTATTTATTTTTTAATATTAAGGAAATAGTTGTCTTAAAGCACCTAGAAGCCCTTTTTTGATATTTTTAAATAAATAAATATCTTATTTATATTTAAATTAATATATTTTCATAAAATTATAAATTTGAAATAATAATATTATAAATTAAATATATATTTGAATTTTTAAATTTCTGATAATAGAGACAATTTATAATTAATAAAGTACCAATTTTGGGTGTTATAGGGGTGTTAATCCTTCCCTAAACGTAACCGACCACGAATCTTTTTTATTAAAAATTTTTGGTTATACGCATATCAGTTTATCTTTTAAATTATGTTTTCTTAAAAACTATTTTAAAAGATTGTTTTTAGGTATTTGACCTACCTAACCTAAAAAGGTCAATGGCGACTCCAAAAATATTTTTTAAAAATCAAAATAATTTATTTATTCATTTTAAATTTTCCCGCCAAGTAGTAAAAGCAAAAATTTCGTGCCCGGACGAAAACCGGTTACGACAGTAGTTATGGAGCCGTTTTCAACATCTTCTCCCAATGTCTATACTGTTTCGTATCGCAGCTGTTAGGAGTCCTATCGCTTAGAGTAAAGGGGATATCGTAGGATGGAAAGTGTGCTCGGATCTCCAATTTTCAATTAAATCTGCCTATAATATCCGTTCTGGCCCAAGTGTGGCTTGTGAACTGTTAAAATGAATACCCCAATTTTCTATTTCACATACTGATAAGCTTACATACGAAAGTATTTATACAATAACTAAATATCTAATTGACTTACAAACTGACTATAACAAATTAACTAACTTTCTAACTGCACTAACAGAAAAAAACTATTTACAACTGATTTCTACACTCCCCTCAAGTTGAGGGATTAAAACATGTTTCATCCCCAACTTGATCACCAAATGTTTGTGATGTTGTATCCTAAGTGCTTTAGTTAAAACATCAGCAAGCTATTACGCAGAAGGTATATATTCAGCCTTGATTAGCCCTTCTTGTATCTTTTCTCTAACAAAATGACAGTCTATATCAATATGCTTGGTTCTTTCATGAAACACCGGATTTGCTGAAATTTGCAAAGCTTCTTTATTATCACTGTACAACCTTGTTGGTCGTGAGATATCAGCTTGTAACTCCTGCAAAAGACCATTCAACCACACTATTTCAGCTGCAACAATTGCCATGCATCGGTATTCAGCTTCTGCTGAAGATCTTGCTACTGTATTTTGCTTTTTTGATTTCCAGGATATCAAGGAATCACCCAATTTTATACAAAAATCGATTACTGGTTTACGTGACATAGGACATGAAGCTCAGTCCGAATCACAATACGCTATTGATTGGCTCTTGCTTGTTTTCTTTAACAATATCTCTTGTCTCGATTCTTTCTTCAAATATTTAACAATCCTTAATGTTTCCTCTAAATGTGTTCTTTTTTGTTGTTGCATAAACTGAATAAGATGATGAACTGCAAACGTGATATCTGATCGAGTATGCGTTAGGTATATTAGTCTTTCAATCAGCCTTTGGAATGTTGGTTTCTCTTCAACTAATACTTCATCTTCTATTTGCTGCAAGTGTTCATCATATTATGTGGTAGTAAGCTTCAAGTTCTGTTATAAAGGAGTCAAAGCTGGTTTAACTCCCTCAAGGCTAGTCTCCTTTAATAACTCTAAAGCATATTTCCTTTGGTTCATCAAAATTCCTTCTTCTGACCTCAAAACCTCAAGCCTTAAAAAGTATTTTAAATCTCCTAGATCTTTCATCCTAAAATTGCGATTTAGCATATCTTTCAACTCATTAATCAAAGCTAAATCATTGCCAGTTAATAGGAGATCATCTACGTAAATAAGCATCACTACCAATCTTTCACCTTCTTTTTTTGTAAACATTGAATAGTCAAACTTACTCTGCTGATACCCTGCAGCAACCAATGCTTCAGTAAGCTTTAAATTCCACTGTTGTGAAGCTTGTTTCAAACCATAAAGAGATTTTTCCAACCGACATACCATATTCTCCCCCTTGCTGTAAAATCCTTCAGGCAACTTTATGTATATCTCCTCAAAGATATCACATTGGAGAAAAGCATTATGAACATCCATTTGAAAAAGAGGTCAATCATTCATAATAGCAAGAGCAAGAACAATCCTAACAGTGACTAATTTCGCTACAGGAGATAATGTTTCAACAAAATCGACACCCTCCTTTTGATTATAACCTTTAGCAACAAGACGTGCTTTAAAACGCTCAACTGTAACAAACTGATAAGCTTACATACGAAAGTATTTATTCAATAATTAAATATCTAACTGACTTACAAACTGACTATCAAAAAATAACTTTCTAATTGCGCTAACCAGGGTTTTAAAAAACGGTCCGCGCCCACGATTTCGACTGCGATATAGCGGTTTCGCCGCTGTCCGAGTTACCCGCGACGGCCGCAATAGCGCCCGCGACGACCGCAATCACGGTAAATCCGAAATAACCGAAACCGCGACCGCGATTTAAAACCCTGGCACTAACAGAATAACTATTTACAACTGATTTCTACATAAACCACGGTTATGGAAGTTGATCAATGGATTCCGGAGCTTACAGAAGATAAAAAAAAATCTTTGGCAGGTGTGTTCGGATAAACTAATGACTAATATGCATCGAGTTCGCCGTCATTTTACTGATAACTCAAGCTGCGCCGTCTGAGTTCTGACGTGGAAGATGCTCACCATATTTTCCGCGAATGCCCACGTTCAATGATGGTCTGGGCTATTTTTGTGCGTCCGGACTGTTTGATGGAGTATTTAACACTTGATTTCAAGAATTGGATCGCAGCAAACTTATCAGATGTGTCCCGTTTTGGCATTCATGTGAGGGATGTTGATAATGCTCAATTAAGTATTGAATAATGCTCATTCAACTAGCATTGTAAAAATGCTCAAAATTGTCATTTCTTGATAATGCTTAATGTTGATAATGATCATGCTCATTCAACTAGCATTGTAAATATGCTCAAAATTGTCATTTCTTGATAATGTTCAATTTTGATAATGATCATGCTCATTCAACTAGCATTGTAAATATGCTCAAAATTGTCATTTCTTGATAATGCTCAATTTTGATAATGATAATGCTCATTCAACTAGCATTGTAAAAATGCTCGAAAATGTCATTTCTTGATAATGCTCAATTTTGGTAATGATCATGCTCAAATTAGGTTATTCCACTAGTATTGGAAATGACAATTTTGCCCTCGCTATTTAACCTATAAATAGAGAGCAATTTCATTCATTTTGAGATATCCCAAGCAAAACATTTGCTTTGAAAACACTCCTCTCTTTTGAGTGTTGTTTGAGTTGAGAAAAGAGCAATACCACCAAGTTCACTCCAGTGTTCGGGTGTACGAATTCTTGGAGAGCCGTGTTAACCTCGGGGGAACGGTCCACCTACTGCAACGATAACACACATCGAGACGAATTCGTTTCTAAGGCAGTGGTTTTACCACGACACGGTTTATCAATCTGTTTCTTTTAAATTATTATTTATTTTCCTGTCAGTGGTAACGATGTTATTTTACAATCCATATTTCCAACAAGGGACTAGGATATTCTCTTTGGAACTCTCCTTTGGAACATTTGGCTTGATCGCAATAATTATGTGTTTAATGATTGCTCAAATGATACAAGCTCTATTATCATGCGGAGCACAAGAGTGCAAAAGCTGTGTTGTTCCGCACGACATGAAGCTTCTCGGAGTGGTAGTACGATGAAAACTTTAACGAGTGAAACTGCTGTGTTGGTTCAATGGAGCAGACCAGCTGTTGGATGGACCAAATTAAACATGGATGGGGGCCAAAATCCAGGAGATGGCACTGCTTCATGTGGAGGGGTCCTTCGAGATTGTCATGGTGCATGGTTGGTGGGTTTCTACAAATTTATCGGTATTTGTTCAGTCTTGGAAGCAGAATTATGGGGGTATTTGTTGGATTAATGTCTTCTTGGGAGAGAGGGCATCGAAATGTTGAAGTTGAGATGGATAGTATTCAAGCGTTTCACCTCCTGAAACCGAGTTCGGGTGTCAACGGAACTTTGCCGATCTTAGCTCATATCCATATTTTTGTGCAAAGGGATTGGAATGTTTGCTTTAGCTATATTACCCGGAAATGTAATCGTGTTGCTGATTATTTGACTGGTTTGGATGCTCCTAACGACTTCGGAGTTCATTACATTGCAAAACCCCCCACCGGAAGTTGTGGAATTGCTGCAAAAGGATGATAGGCTGCTGCAGGATGGCTCGACTTAATATCCTGATGTAATTTTTGTTTTTTACGATTTGGTGTATTATTTTCCTCCAACTAGGATTAAAGAAGTTTTTGACGAGACACCCATAACTTTTCCTGTGTATGATTTTTTCTTTAATCATACCATCTTTACCAAAAAAAAATGAATGCTTCTGTATGCAAGGTTTAGTTTAAACAAGGTCTCAAGTTCGGGTCGTTTTGTATGTAGAAAAATCTTTGCTAGAAGATTCACCCATCAAAGTAACGCGTACGACGTCCAAATTAATCAAGACGAAGCCTTGATATCGGAGTAAAAAAATGAAAGAATGGATGCTTCCCTTGATTAAAAATTGAAAACATGTTCTATTAAAAACTATTATATTAATTAGAAATTAAAGAAATCAAAAATCGGAATTAAGGATTCGAGCTGGAGTTTACTAGGGTAAAAGAATGAATGCTTATCCATTTAACCAACTTTAATACTTGAATAAAATCGACAATATATTATACAATTTAAACTAAGATTTGTTCAAAAGAAAATTAGGCGAAAATTAATAAATAATTAATATTATATCTTTATTATATAATAAAATGTTAATATATTTAATAATATTTATTATTTACATAAAAGTATTATTTAATACTACCTCGTCCCCTTAAATTATCCAACATTGACTTTTCTTGATAATTTTTTTAAACTTTAAATCTTTATTATTTAAAATTTATTATTGATAAAATTATAAAAAATCTATATATATATTTTTAAAAATATCGAATTAAATAATTTTGAAATATATATTTGATAAAAATTATTTTTTTAAATATTTAAAATAATTACGATCGAAGTTTAAAAATTTTAACTTTTGAAAAGTCAATAAAAAAGACAAAATGACGTAAAATTTTTTAAAAAAAATATATCAATACTGTCGTTAAATTTTTAGTTATTATAACCAAAATAAAAAAAACGTAACAAAGAAATAGTTAGATAATTATAAAAGAGAAGAAACAATAATTAATTAATTAAGTAATGAAGCAATTTACCCTAATCTTTAAAAAATTGGAATCAGTCAATAGTGAGTGTCAAACAAGCAAAGATTGGATCCAATGTATTCCGACAAATTACAAAAATTCCAGCGGAGAATCTTAAGCTAGCCAGCCAGTGAATGATTAAAGAAAAAGGGAAAGCACTTCAGATTTTAGATTTAATAGTGTTTTCACATTAATAACAATAATTAGTGTAACACCGTAGCAGGCAGGTCCTGACACAAAGGACCCTACAAAAGCTAGTTACCTTCTTGTTCAGCTTTTCAAAAATTAAAGAATCTTGATTTATATCCTTCAAAATTAGTATGTAAAGCGAAAATGTACGAGGGAGATTCAATGTCATAAAAGATAGATGATGTTGAAGGATCTGTGGAGAAGCTCACTTTAAATGCAAAATAAAGAAATAGTACCTTCCCCCACCCAACCAAATCCACCTACAAATTGAAACCTCAACAAACGCATGACATTTCAAAGCCTTCAGTCAACAATTTCATCAACTTATGCTCCATGATCATGTTCCTACACGTCCTACAAAAGTCTAGCATGATATAGTTTTCATAAAAAAGTTAGAAACAGTGATTGAAATGCATGAGCATGCATGATGAAGCATGCATCAATCATGGCAAAACCTGAAGGTAAAATCCAGACAACATATCAATATTCTCAACTCAAGTCTCTTAAATGCTTAATCGGGATTTATAGGTCCAAAAATTATATATCAAATAGAAATTATGAAATAGGAAAGATAACATAAACCAAAACAATCCCTCATGTTCTTACAAATCTACAAAGAGCATAAAAGGTTCCACAATATAGACATGATACACAAGGAAAATATACAGTGCACAACAACAGGGTAAACCCAACATTATGACAAAGAACAAATTTCAAAACCATGAACAACTTGCCTGTCAGCCATGCCCTTCACAGTCGATACAAAACAGAGAAAAATGAACAAGTGAATTGTCCAAAATTTAGACAAGAATAAATTAAATCATAGTACGGATAGTACCCTCAGTTGCAGAAGGGTTTAACCTGGAACCTGTAGAGAAGCTTCTTCTTTTTTGAAGTGGGGTTGTCAACCGTGAGCAATACTTTACCCAGTTCACTGACTTTGAAGCTTTGAGACACAACCGGTTCATCTTTTGAAGTCATCTTCGTCAGTTTTTGGATGATGACAGCATAGCTATCTTTGGCATCAGGCACAAATTCAGCTCCATAGCTCACCACCCAACCGACTACCCTTATTTCCCAAACAAGAACACATTTCTGCAATGCAAAGTTTTTCGCAATAATATAAGTGGGATTAGACCGTACATTAATCATCTTTGGCACAATACTGAAGCACATAGAAGCCAAATATGTTTGGTTAATATCAGTGAATGAGATTAGCAGGATGAAGAAACAATGGAATTCGAACCTCAAAGATTGTTATTTCAACAGTTTGCTTTGTCCCCGGTTTCACAGTCATTTCAGTGGCAGGATCGGCATCACTGAATTCCGGGTTGCAATCACAATAATCCACACTCAAACCACCATATTGAATAGGCACTTGCTCAGGTGGTATGTATCTGTTTTACATATCATATATTCCAGGAGATTAACCACTAAAAGAACCATAGTACTTAGAATAAGCACTAGGATAAATCACTCACTTGAAAAGGGTTTCAGCAGATTTTGCTGGCAGTGCAATGACAAACTTACTCTTGGTTCTTTGTGTCATAAATGGACTAATCATTGTATAGAATGCAAGATACCACCAAGGAACGTTAATAAACACCTAAACAGAATACGAAACCCAAATCAATGCATCTCCCAAAGAATCTAATGGGCAATAAAAATAGCACATTTTTCCAGGACATATAGATAGATACATAGATATAAAACAAACCTGTTTTGCAACAAACTCTGGATAATTATCTTGGAGAACCTGAAGAGCCTGTTTAGTTGCCAATCTAAGCTCCTTTTTTCCAGGTCCAGGCGAATTTTTGAGGTCACTAACCTGGAAAATGGTGGAAACACCACCAGGACTAAAATCAAGCTTTCTTATACTCTTCTCCAAGAGCTGAATTCGCCATCGCAGGAACTTCATTCGTTTTTCCTCATCGGAAAATGCTTTCTGGTACAAGTCTTTATTCTGAAACTCCCCATAAACATTGTAACAAACAAGGTGCCCTTCCTTGTCTTTTCCATGCATGAACACAACTTTGTCCATGTCATCACCAATATCTTCATCCAAAAGCTCATCGATTCCGAACTCTTTCCTCCACTGGATGGTGTTTTTGATCATCACAAACGCATCTTTAGCTTTGAAATCCCTTGCTCTCAAGAACTTCAAAAGGATGACATTGCTCCTGTCATCTTTTAAAAGAGGAATACCCCAAATGGATACCTCTTTTGGTCCTTTTTTCTTTTCCTTCTCTGGGTTTTCTTCACTTTTGGATTCTGAATTGAAATGGTTAGAGTCCATAGCTTCTTTAACAAGCTGTTTAAGTTCTTCCAAAGCTTTCCTTTCGAAATCAGATAGATCAGCTTCCTTGTTGCTTTCCTCTTTGAAAGAACCCAGATTTTGGGGAGCTTTTTTCTCTTCAACAACAGCAGCCACCTCTTGTTGAGCCGTACTAGTACTCGCTGCAGTAGGCTTCTCATCTTTCTCCATCGCCGCCGCCAGTGACTCCGACTCCGTAACCACCTCCGGTTTCTGCGACTCGGATTCCGATATCAATACAGTTTCTGCTGGTGTCGCTTCCTCCTTTTGTGCCTCCGTTACAGCAGGTGGCTCAGATTCTGACTCCACCGATTGCGGTGGTGGCGTTGGACGTAGTTCCTCTTTTCCTGATCCTTTATCCGTTGAATCAGGCTCCAATGCTATCGGTTCGTGTGGCTGCGGTGTTTGCTCGTCTTTTTCAGCTTTAGTCGTTGATAAGGATTCGGTCACAGAAACAGACACAGCTGCTACTTGAAGTACTGGAGAAGGGTCTTCTTTTTCTAAAACAGCAGGTGAACCAGTCTCGGTCACCGTAGGCGGTGCCGCTGCTGCTGTAGGAGGATTCTGGGTTGGTGTTTCATCGGTCATGTTTGGCTGTTTGTTGTATGAAAAAAGTGAAGAGTGCTACTGTCAAGTTAAAAAATGAGAAGGTCCGTTCATATGGACAATGGAAATATCTAGAACGATAAAAGGCGTTTTTAAACGAAAATCACCCCAACAATAAATAATTATTTATCAGGCATTATTTTTTCATATATTATCGATCTAATATTTTTTCTAACAGTTAGACGGAAAATGTAGATCAAAAAATACACCTTCATATGATTTTTTTTCAAGATGACCCAACGATGAAAAGGTGACACTCATGATACACACTTTTTTGTGGGCTTTTTGACACAGGGAAAAGACGCGAATAATGATGTGAGCCTTCTACCCTAACCGTTCGTCCATCCCTTTAATTATCACATACCTCTTTAGTATCACTCGTCCTCCTTCCCTTTTAAATACCCTCCTCATACAACCCTAAGATCATATCAAAAATACTCATATTCCTCTTTTTATCAATTCTTCTATCAAGCTTTAAGTAGGTTTTGTTATATTTTTTAAGGTAAATTTGTTTATTATATTATAATAATTTAATATTTTATTATATTTTACTATATTATTTTTCTTTACTTTGCAGTTATAAAATGGAAGGTATGTTGCTGCGTTTAGATTATAATCATATCTCGAGTTATTTTGTTGATACGGTAACAATTTAAAATTGTGTTATTTTAATTATTATGAATGTTTTATTTATTTATTTATTTAGTATTAGTTTATATTTTAATTTGTATACTATTTATTTAATTAGGGAAATGATTATATATTAGATCCATTTATTCATAACGCTAAGTTAGAGATATCGAGTCGTATATGACCGTATTTAGTCGGTTACATAGCGAAATATGAAGGACACTGTAACCTTGAACTCAACCTTATTTCTGCATCGATTGAAAGATGAAGACCAGAGACACACACATTACATCTTTTGTGTGGGGAGTGTACTACTACGTTGAAGGATGTTTCCATACATTTTGGGCTTCCAGTAGATGGGGATGTTATTTCTAGTGTGGCGGATGATGATTGACATTCCTTGTACGAGAAGTATCTTAGAGTTATCCCGCCTAATTTTAACGGTGGTCAAATACTGTTGTCATTGTTGGCTATAAATTTTCAACATTTGAGTGAAGATTGTTCCGAGGAACAGGCTAAAATATTTGCTCAGACTTGCATATTACAACTAATAGGAGGGATCTTGATGTCCGACAAATCCCACAACCAAGTTCATTGTATGTGGCATCACCTCGAAGATTTTCACGTTGCTGACTCACTTAGTTGGGGCTTCGCGGTTTTGGCATCTCTATATAGAGAAATGTGTTTGCCAACTGATTATCAGAAAAATGCTATCGGTGGATGTCTCATTCTTCTCCAGTTATGGGTGTGGTATCGCGTTCCCTTTTTATATCTGGTTATGAATATCCCGTTGGTCTTCCCGTTATTGTTGAGGTAATTTTAATATTGAGTTTGTATATTAATATTTTTTAGTATATAATGATTTTTTACATTGAATAGGTGGTCATGTATAAGGAAAAATCATCGTGATATACTAGAAGAAATTCGGCTACTTATTGATCAGAAGGCTGGTACAGAGGTATGTATTTAAATTATTATTTGCCTTTAATTATCATTATATAATTAGAATATTATTTTATAATTATATATATATATATATATATATTGTTTTAGTTTCAATGGGCTTCTTATTCTACTAAAGAATTGAGGCTTTGTATCCCACCTCACCTGAGTAGCATATTAGATGTATGGATGGCAGAGGTCCCTCTGATATGTTATGTTATTATCGAGTGGCATCCTATTGATCGCGTGTTCCGCCAATTTGGCTTCGTACAATATATTCCTGAAGCACCTAAAAATCTCGACAATATTCATAACGTCGATAGATGGGGCAAAAATGATGTCAACTGGCTGATCAAGCACAGCGAGTGGATAATGATCTGGGAGGATCGACGTAGATGCATTCCCCGTAGGGAGTCAATATATGTGGATCATTATTCAGTTGCGATTGACTTGTTAGTGGTTCAACATGAATGCGAAACCATTCTTACTTTTCGAGGAAGCACGAGGTGTGAGCATTCATTGGCGCTAAGAAAAGTGGCCACCGTCATAGTATCATCGTCTCCCTACTAGCGGACGGAGAGCAAACGCTTCCGGCTCATCCTCAGCTGCAGCACTGGAACCATCACAGCATCTACCGTCTACACTAGTTTATATTCCCAGCCCGCCACTATACATTGGTACATTGTCGATTCAGATAGCACCGCATCTGGTTTAGATGCCACCGCAACCAGTTCAGATGCCATCATCGTAGGGTTTTACGACACCTCTTGGCGGATATTACTGGATGCTTATGGATCCAACATGGGCTTCATATGCTATGTAACACCACCAACCCGTATCCAACCCGAACACGAGTCTGAGGTGTCACATTGATTTTTCAAAACCTTTACTTGTACACAATAATGAAAATTTCCCACTAATATTAAATAAAACTTCATAATTCATATTATTCCAATAAAAAGGGTTTACAAAACTTATCAGAGCATATACAACTCAAATCTTTTATTTGAATGCCAACTACATTTCATATAACAAAATACATATTAATAAAATGCTTTTCTGATCTGATATCTTAAAAGGAGAAGCTGACATGTCTTGCTCCTCTTTGCTCCTCAATCTTCTCGAAACCTATGTGTGAAACACTCACACGCTAAGTCAATGACTTAGTGAGGCATATAAAACAAATACGAAAAACCTTAATTATCTAACAATGCACGAACAATTCACACACTAATATCATGCAAAAATCATTTAACAATTCATATGACCGTTACATACATACATATATTTATTTGATCATTATCATCATTCACATTATTATTATTATTATCAATATTATTTGCATTCATTCCTTTAATCTTGTGATCTTATCCTTAACACTCATGCATATCATATCATACATTCCACAAAGCAAAACACATAATATTACACAAGGTTTTTTATGTTATATCTTTTATTTGCTCATGTATACTTGTGAAAACTAAAGATATATGAGTACATTGAGGTTGTGCACATATGCTGTCACCACAACTCGTATAAATTCCCACTAAGGACGCATAGAATTTGTCCTGAAAGACCATGTAGAAATGTCCCGAATAACAACATAGATGTCCCGAATGACCACTCCTTAAGGATCGCGTATATATTCCAAAGACCAAATATGTGTCCTGAAGAATCGCACATATGTTCTAAAGGATTACATATATATCTCGAATGACCACATAGAATCCTCAAGTCTTGGTATGCCAACTATACCCCTAGCTCTCATAACATATAACATGGGTATTATCATTTATATCATTTCACATATTCATATAATCTCTTAGTTCTCTTACATGTAGAACAT